GAACTGTAAGCTGAAGTACCTGTAAGAGTGCTTTATGGGTGATAATTTCTCAGGTCAAAGCCACTGTTCTGCCTTACTGAAAAAGATTGCTGCAATGAAAGGGAGGCTTTCGGTCTGTATTAAAACTCTCCTAGAGAGACTAAGTAAGTGGGACAAAGTGCTTCCAGCACAAAACATTTCCACTGTGAAGAATTCTGCCTTCACATACTGATGTCCTGACTAAGTCCTGTCCCAGCCTCTCGCCCTGTAATGGACCATGGGACTGTGCTTCAGGGTACCTTTCAGAAAGGTTTTCGGCTCTCAAAGATTTACGGGAAATAATTCACGGCCCATGAATTAAGGCAGACTAACTAAAAATAGGCTTGATGCTATGAAACCTTATTTACCCAAATTATAATTAACAAGAGGGCTGTTACTTTTCCCAGGCTTTGTCTCTGAACAGCCTTGAATAAGGGGGTCAGGCTCCAGCACAGTTTCAAGTTATAGGGTTTCTGCTTAAGGACCATACTTCCAAGCATCCAGCTAGTTTCTCTGAAAAAACAAACACCTGCTTTTCTAGGAAAACAGATTGAGTTTAAAGTTCCATTAGCCTGAAACATAGCAAAGGAAAACATTACTTTCTTCCTAAAATATTTCAGAATGGAATAATTTGTAAAAATATACATGACTAGAGGATGGAAAATTACATAAAACATCCTGAAAAAAATCTATGAATTAAACTACAGTTTATTGCTACTTAGATAAACTAAGCAAAAGCAACAATAAAAGCCCTAAGATGAAAAATAAAGCAGGGTGGTGACAGTTGTAATCAGACGACTTATCTCCACTCTTTGCTTTTATAATTATATCTCCCAGGAGCTTTTTAATCTGATGCATTACATCAGAAAAATGAATTAATAGAAGCCAAAAGACTTGAGACATTTTATACCAAATACAACAATGACAAAAATGATTATCTAAATACCAATTCTGGAAAATTCCCGTATTATACAGTTGAAGATAAGAAACATACATAACAAAAAGGAGACAAGAATTGTAGAAGACAGAACCATCGGTAACTGTAACACTCTTCTGAACCTTCATTTTTCCTCAAATTTTCCTTAACTTTTAAAATTGAGTTTTTTTGTCTTCAGTATTTGAGCAAAAATTTTCTTGTTTCGAAACACTGGGTCAAAGTAAATATAACAAGTATTCACTTGGAGGCCATCTGCTGTGATAAACTGTAAATCGCTAGGTATTTCTTTCCTTAAAAATGTATTACCACTTCTTATGTTATAATCCATCACCGAAAATCTGTGTTAACTTTGGAGGCCGAAAAGGGCGGATCATTTGAGGTTAGGAGTTTGAAGTCAGCCTGACCAACATGGTGAAACCCTGTCTCTACTAAAAATACAAAAAAAAATTAGCCAAGTGTAGTGGCACATGCCTGTAATTCTGGCTACTTGGGAGGCTGAGACACGAGAATCGCTTGAACCCAGGAGGTGAAGGTTGCAGTGAGCCGAGATCACACCACTGCACTCCAGCCTGGGCAACAGAGTGAGACAGACTCTGTCTCAAAAAAGAAAAAGAAAGAAAGAAAATCTGTATTAAAATGTCATTTTAACAGAATTGTGCACCACCAGCTAGTGGTCAAAAACTAGTTGAAGGGCCAAGAGCAATGACTTACACCTGTAATCCCAGAACTTTGGTAGGCCAAGGCAGGAGGATCAACTGAGGCCAGGAGTTTGAGACCAGCCTGGACAAAAATACAAACATTAGCCAGGTGTGGTGGTGCATCGCTGTAGACCTGGCTACTTTGGAGGCTGAGGTGGGAGGATTACTTGAGTGCAGAGGTTTGACACCGCAGTGAGCCATGATCATACCACCGCACTCCAGCCTGGGCAACAGAACAAGACCTTGGTTCTAAACAAACAAACAAACTAGATGGAAAGTAGCTTTAAACAATGTACCTCCTTATGTAATATTATTATTATTATTATTTTTGAGACACGGTCTCATACTGTCATCCAGGCTGGAGTGTAGTGGTGCAATTATAGCTCACTGAGCCCTCCCAAGTAGCTGGGACTACAGGCACGTGCCACCACATGCGGCTAATTTTTCCCTTCCTTCTTCCCTCCCTCCCTTCCTTCTGCTAATTTTTCTTTTTTCTCCTTCCTTCTTCTCTTTCTCTTCCTTTCCTTTTCTTTCTTTCCTTCCTTCTTTATTTTCTTTCTCTCTCTCTCTTCCTCTCTCTCTCTCCCTTCCTTTCCTCCCTCCCTCCCTTTCCTCTCTTTCTTTCTCTCTTTTCCTTCTTTCCTTTCCTTCCTTTCTCTCTCTCTCTCTCTTATCCCACTATATTTTCCACACTGGTCTTGAACTCTTTCCGGCCTCTGCTTTCTTAAATAATTTCAACATGTAGGGAAAGTAGGAACATAAGAGGCATAAAGAAGGGGGAGGAGCACAACGTAGTGAAAACCAGAGGGAGAAACAGGAAAGTGAATACTGATCCCTGATACCCCTAAAACTCAGTCCTAGACAGTGGTCCACCAATCACTGGCAGCTACCTTCCTTGCACAGATAATGCCTTTACAGCCCAGAAAATCTTCTGTAAAAGATGTTATTTCAAATCTGAAATACATATCCCCCACCCACGTAATGTCTGTGTATATTTATGCCTGCAGATGTAGCTATACTATCTATATATCTATCTTATAGTAGACATTATATAGTTATTTAAAATGGGGTTGTTGTGGGGCCAGGTGTGGTGGCTCACACCTGTAATCCCAACACTTTGGGAAGCTGAGGCAGGAGGATCGCTTGAGCCCATGAGTTTAAGACCAGCCTGGCAAAATAGCGAGACCCCGTCACAAAACAATAACAACAACAACAACAACAACAAAAAACAGGGTGGTTGTAACATTGGGGGATTTAAAAAAAAAAAGAAAAAATGTAAAATGGGGAAGAAGTAGAAATGCCAGGAAAAATCTACATAATTACGTCAGTCTTACTTTCCTTCTAACTGAAGAATGCGTTGTAAACTACCATAAGGTATTATTCCTAGAATACCATGATGATAGCCACAATTATAATGCAGTAAAATGATGAGTAAAAAGAACACAGAGGAGCATTTTGATAAATATGTGGTCCCAGTCTGCAGCAGAGATTCTAAAAAATTAAAAAACATGGCCCTCCTCATTTTCCTTCATAAACACTTTGCAAGTGGTTTAGGTAATACAAAAGACAAAGAGTTAACACAGCACTGAAAAGAAACAGGGCCGTTTTCTACATTTTTAAAGTATCTCAATTTAAAATAATTAAATCAACCAACCTGGCAAATTCTTTTTTTTTTTTTTTTTTTTGAGACGGAGTCTCTCTCTGTCTCCCAGGCTGGAGTGCAGTGTGCGATCTCAGCTCACTGCAAGCTCCGCCTCCCGGGTCTACGCCATTCTCCTGCCTCAGCCTCCCGAGTAGCTGGGACCACAGGCGCCCACCACCTCGCCCGGCTAGTTTTTTTGTATTTTTTTAGTAGAGACGGGGTTTCACTGTGTTAGCCAGGATGGTCTCAATCTCCTGACCTCGTGATCCGCCCGTCTCGGCCTCCCAAAGTGCTGGGATTACAGGCTTGAGCCACCGCGCCTGGCACCTGGCAAATTCTTAACAATGTTCCATAATACTGGCACAATCTCCACTGGTTTTATAAGACAAGATGCCTAAATTGTTTGGAGGTTTAGATATTTTTAGAAAAAAAATATGACATTACAGGGTTTTTTTTCTATTAAAGAAACTGTTCATTTAAGGAAATAAAGTGTATTTCCTCTCTGAAAGTATAACAGTTCACTGAATACTTTAGTCTGGTAGTATACAGTTGACATGCGGCTGCTGGTAAGAATGAGCTCACACCAATAAAACCGCAAGGGCACCATATCCAGGCAAACCCCAGGTAAAAGAACAGAGTAAAATGTCTGAGGAATTTAGTCAAGTTCATGTAAGTAAAATGTTGGACTTGAGCTCTGGCAAGGCTACACTGAGAAGATCTGACCGCGTTAACAGCAAACGGTTATTGACAGCTCACTACTCACAATTTTCATGTTCGTCTTTCAAAGAAACCTAAGAGATAGACACTACTATTTTGCATGTTATGAAAATTGCTCATTGCCATCCAATATCTCTTCTCCTCTTTTTCCTTGTAACAGAACCCTGATCTCATTAGCGGCTGCAATGCAACCAGCTAAGACTACATCTCCCAAACTCCCCTGCAGCTTGATGTGTCTCATGGCTAAGACAATCTCATGGACACATCAAGCTGCAGGGGAGGGTCGTGTGGAACTTTCAGGAAGGCTATTTAAAGGGAGCTGACTCACAGCTGGGACACATGCCCTTTTGCTTCCATGCCTCCCCTTTCTCATCCAAGATGACGGCTGGTGCTCTAGCCATCACTTCCTGGCCTACAGGACGGGAGCTCCATGCTGGACAATCAACTAATCAGCTTTGCATTACTTACCTCAAAACTTTTTATATGAAAGAATAAACCTCTACAGGTATAACCCACCCCTACATGCAGCCACACCTGATCCTGATATACACAATTATATAGATGGGGCAAATAAAATCAAGGTTAGAGAGGTTAAGTAATATGTCCAACGTAACCCAGCAAGAAAGGAGCAAGGAGCAAAGCAGCCCAGGTCCGTTGACTCCATGGCCCACGCTCTCCACGAAGCTCCACAAAGGCAGCACCGTAGCACAGTGCCTGGCACATCGCAGGTACACAATAGATCTCTCTCAAATACACGAATGACTTTGTTATACAGCCTCATTAGTATTTCAGATAGGAGTTTAAACACAGCCTCCATCACACTGTATTCCTTCAGAAATTTTAAACACATAGGAGAAAATGCATTGTTTTGTCAATAAAACTAGGACATCCGTGAAATAAACAAGGAAGACAGTATCTAATTGTAAAGCACTAAAATAGATTAAATCACATCAATTCTTGAAAAACAGTAAATAAACTATTTTCTTACCGATAGTTACATCTCCTCTGATTTCACTTTCTACACATACAACTGCTCCAGGAGCAATCTTCACACTGTAGCAAGAAAAAGGTAACATTTACCAGGGGTAAGATTAAAAATACTGTTGGAGAAGCTACACTGACACTGTAATGAAAACAAGGTTTAAAAAAATGATGGAAAAAAAGACCAGGTGCAGTGGCTCACACCTGTAATTCCAGCACTTTGGGAGGCCGAGGTGGGCGGATCACCTCAGGTTGGGAATTCGACACCAGCCTTACCAACATGGAGAAACCTCATCTCTACTAAAAATACAAAATTAGCTGGGTGTGGTGGCGGGCACCTGTAATCCCAGCTACTCGGGAGGCTGAGGCAGGAGAATCGCTTGAACTTGGGAGGCGGAGGTTGCAGTGAGCCGAGATTGCGCCATTACACTCGAGCATGGGTAATAAGAGTGAAACTCCATCTCAGAAAAAAAAAAAAAAAAAAGATGGAAAAATGGAAAGTCAATGGTAGGAGGGTAAGGTTTTAATAGATTATAAATTTTTCAATTGGTATATTGTCCATCATCCCAAATCACATGTGCTATAGTATTAAAATGCTTGAGAAGAGTTTTGAACCTTTTCTTTTAATACCAGCATGTTTCTAAACAGCAAACAGCTGAAAACAACCTATTCATCAGTGGAAGATTAGTTAATAAATTATGGCATACTATGGACTACTACATGGTCATCAAAAAGAATGAATAATCCCTTGTCAAGATTTTGGAATGGCTGTGCACAGTGGCTTACACCTGTAATCCCAGCACTCTGGGAGACCAAGGAAGGAGAATTGCTTAAGCCCAGGAATTCAAGACCAGTCTGGGCAACATAGTGAGACCTCATCTCTTAAAAAAAAAAAAAAAAAAAAGAATGATCTCCAAGCTATATTGTTAAAAGCAAAAAAAGTGAAGTGAGAAAATGGACAGTATGTAATATGCCATTATTTTTGTAAAGGCAGGGCTAAAAAATATACATTAATACTATTTAACAACCAGCAAAGTAATACTAACTTAGAAATTTAAAATTTACAAATATTTCTATTTACTCTGATATATATACACACACACATACACACACGAGAAACTTTTTACAAAGTAATATAAATTGTAGTACAAATTGTTCAAAAGACTAATAATTTCCATATAACTTACTGATGCTTTTTTACATTCTGCTGTTATCTTTCGTTTGACAAAGCTGTATGTAAACACCGACACTAGCTGAACCATGAGCTGACATGAGGAAGTGCATCAAATGACTTCTCCATTACAGTGATGGTTATTAGGAAACTTCTTTTCATTAAGAAAAGAATTTTTCTAAATGGCAATGACATTCATGGTGTTAAATCTGCTCTCAGCTACTATGAAATAACACTAACATTTTAGATATTTTGTCTTCGTAATTTTGTTTGGATTTTTCAAAATTTTGATTTCCAATTGTTCCACTTTGGGCTGGGCATGGTGGCTCATACCTGTAATCCCAGGACTTTGGGAGGCCAAGGCAGGTGGATCACCTGAAGTCAGGAGTTTGAGACCAACCAACCTGGCCAACATGGCGAAACTCCGTCTCTATTAAAAATACAAAAATTAGCTGGGCATGGTGGTGGGCACCTGTAGTCCCAGCTACTCGGGAGGCTGAGGCAGGAGAATGGCAGGACCCCGGGAGGCAGAGCTTGCAGTGAGCCGAGGAAGTGCCACTGCACTTCAGCCTGGGTGACAGAGCGAGACTCCATCTCATAAAAAAAAAAAAAAAGAAAAAGAAAAGTGTAAATGTTTGTGCAAGAACACTTATGTAAAAATATTAAAACATTATTTTATCTATTCTATCTATGTTGAAATACCATATGCATACATCTAAGCAGAGACTAGTAAGTAACAAAGTAAAAACCTCTTCCCCCTCCCGGGCTAGACATCACTGAATGAGTAGAAGCACGAAAGTCATGAAGAGAAAGGGAGCAGGTAAGGCTGGGAGGAAAAGCAGGACCAGCCCATGAACAAGCTTGTACACCATGACAAGGGATTTGAATTTGCACCTGTAGGCAAGAAGTCACTGAAGGATTCCCATTCCCAAGCCAACAATGTCACAAAATGGTATGCAGATAATTGATACGTATGAAGAAGTACTTGGCGGTGGTGGGGGTCAGGAAGGCAGCTGATCTAATCCTACAGAGATAATGCAGGCCTGAAATGCTGTGTTAGTCCGTTTTCACACTGCTGTACAGAACATCCCTGAGACTGGGTAATTTGTAAAGGAAAGAGGTTTAATTGACTCACAGTTCCACATGACTGGGGAGGCCTCAGGAAACTTACAATCATGGCAGAAGGTAAAGGGGAAGCAGGCACCTTCTTCACAAGGCAGCAGGACAGAGACAGTGAGAGCGCAGGGAAAACTACCATTTATAAAACCATCAGGTCTTGTGAGAATTCACTCACTATCACGAGAACAGCATGGGGGAAACCACTCCCATAATCCAGTCACTCGGATTACGCGTCCCTCCCTCAACAGGTGGGCATTATAATTCAAGATGAGATTTGAGTGGGGACACAGGGCCAAACCATATCAAATGCACTGGTAGCACATAGGAGAAGCTGCAGGTATGTCTAGGAAATAGAAACAAGACTTGGCAACAAACACATTTAATAAAAATCTGGTTTCTAGGCAACGTTGAAGGTAGGTACTTCCCATTCCTTGTTACAGGCCCCAAGGACCATTAAGTGTGTATAGTCACATCCCTCAGTATCCAGTATCTGTGGGAGATTGGTTACCGGACCAATCCGCAGATGTTCAAGTCTCTGATATAAAATACTGCAATATTTGCATAAAGCCTATACACATCCTCTCATACTTTGTCATTTCTAGATAATTTACAATACCTACTATAATGTAAATGCTATGTAAATAGTTATACTGTATTGTTTACAGACACTATTTTTTTTTTTCCTATTTTCGATCTGAGGTTGGTTGAATCCATGGATGTGGAACCCATGGATATAAAGAGCAAACTATATTTGCTTTCTTCTCTGTGGAGGGGAAATAAGTTTGACTAGTGTATTAGTCTGTTCTCACATCGCTAATAAAGGCATATCTGAGACTGGGTCATTTATAAAGGAAAGAGGTTTAATTGACTCACAGTTCAGCATGGCTGGGGAGGCCTCAGGAAACCCACAACCATGGCAGAAGGGGAAGCAAACACATCCTTCTTCACATGGTGGCAGGGAGGAGAATGAGTGCCCAGTGAAGGGAGAAGTCCTTTATAAAACCATTAGATCTTGTGAGAACTAACTCACTACCATGAGAATAGGATGGGGGAAATGGCCCCCATGATTCAATTATCTCCACCTGGTCCCTCCCACAACATGTGGGAATTATGGGAACTACAATTCAAAATGAGATTTGGGTGGTGACACAGCCAAACCGTATCAACTACAGAGGGATGGGGGTGAGGGGCATGGAGTAAAATAAGGAAACTGGTGCCATCCTGTCCCCTTCCTGGGAAGGGATGATTTCTGATGGAGAGGGAAACTCAAATTCCAGGGCTCAAAATCAGCTGCTCTGACTCGCTCTGACTCAGCTTCATTTATGCCAGAAAAACAACCCAAACCAGCCCGGGTCACATGGTAAAACCCAATCTCTACAAAAAATACAAAACTTAGCTGGGTATGGTGGCTTACACCTGTACTTCCAGCTACTTGGGGGGCTGAGGCGGGAGGCCTGCTTGAGCCCAGGAGGTAGAGGTTGCAGTGAGCCGAGATTGCATCACTGCACTCCAGCCTGGGTGATGGAGTGAAACCCTGTCTCAAAAAAAAAAAAAAAAAAAAAAAAAAAAAGAAGAAGGGAAAAAAGAAAAAAGAAAAGAAAAAGAAAACTAACCAAAAGTCAGGAGCCAGGGAGCAAAGTCAAAGCCTCTAGGTTTCTGATCTGGAAAACTAATGGCACCATCTGAGAATAGCCTATGGGAGGAGGGGCAGATTTCAGAGAAAAAAGTCATTTGGCTAAATTTTAGATAAACTCAGTCTGAGGTATCTATGGAATAGTCACCAGATATGCCCAATAAGCGACTGAAAATACAGATTTTGAAGCTCATACGAGAGTTCTAAAAATACAGCTGTGAGAGACAGAAGGGTAAAGATTCTTTCATTAACATGACTCTCCATCATTTCTATGCCAGAATCTTACCCCAAAGTATTCCCTAATATACATGCAAAGTAAGATGAAAACTATTTTTCAGACTGTACCAATTTCCCTACTAGTGTGATGAACTAAAAAAAAAGACATACACAAATTTTTCTTCCACAATTTAGGGTGGACAAATCTTCACACCGCAATGTATTTTTACAGCTCTAAGAAAAAAATAAGGTATCAGATAGAAAAAATAATCCCTGAGTCTACCTTCAAGAAATGGTTTTGAGAACAGACACAGCTCCAGCTGTTTCCATCATTTTGTCAGGCTCTGACTTTTTACAAGGCATAAATCAATGAAATCCTACCAATGGTCCTTCTGAGTGATACAGCCTGTCAAGAGTCAATTTGGGCCAGGTGCAGTGGCTCACACCTGTAATCCCAGCACTTTGGAAGGCCGAGGTGGGCATATTCCTTGAGGTCAGGAGTTCGAGACCAGCCTGGCCAACATGGCGAAACCCCGTCTCTACTAAAAATACAAAAATTGGCCAGGTGTGGTCATGGGCACCTGTAGTCCCAGCTACTCGGGAGACTGAAGCAGGATGATAGCTTGAACCCGGGAGGCAAAGGTTGCAGTGAGCTGAGATTGCATCTCACTGCATTCCAGCCTGGGCAACAGAGTGAGACTCCATCTCAAAAAAAAAAAAGGAACCAGGCATGGTGCAAAGCTTTCACTGCACTCCAACCTGAGCGACTCTGTCTCAAAAAAAAAAAAAAAAAAAAAGTCAATCTGCTGAAATAACAGAAAATATGTAGCCCTCCTACTGTATTGGAGAAGAAAGATTTTAGTAAGATTAGAAGAAAGAAATTAGAAGAAAGTAAAAGAAAGAAAACTTTAGTAAAAGCAGAAAATCACCTGGTCTAACCCTCTCACATTACAGAAAAAACTGAAATTCAGAGACTAGAAATTTCTTGGAGCAGAGTTCATTCCTGGGGCATCACTGTCCTGAAATCAGTCATCTCTCTTCTAGTTGAAAGTTTTCTGGAAACATCCTGTCACTCCAGATGTTTTTCCATGATAAATGAATGACACTGTCCTTGAATGTATCACCATCTGTAAATGTCATTTCTCCGACACTTTTCACTTAAAGTGGGTTTTTATGGTAAAATATGCAGTTTTATTAAGCCCTGGTCAAATAAATTAGCCTCTATAAAATGTCTCTTGTTTTAGACCTTATTTCTCATTGCAATTTTCCATTTCCTCAGCTTCCTTCTCATTATGAAAAGAGCATTATCTAACATTTAACTTGTCCTGGGCAACTGAGAGTAGCAGAGACTCACAAGTGCCCCCTGCCTTCAGTTTTACGCCCAAGAGAGATCCCAGGTAATGCTTGCATCACAATCAGCACACTTCTCAGTGGGGGAGGGAAGAATTAATTCACCAACTAGGCCAACTAAAACGTGGTCCCAATATCTCTGCAAGGACCCCTCTGTATCTCGGAGTGGTGGGAGCAGAGAGGTGAGCCGGCAGATGGGAGGGCAAGACTTAACCTCAGATCTGTTAAAGTAACAAGTCAACAACACCTTCATCTTCACTGTAAGCTACTATCTACTGCACATCATATTTATAACACATCTGTTCCTCTTTAGCTTACAAAAAAAAAAATTATAGAGCATCTGCTTAAATGGAAGAAAAATCTAAATTTTAATGTACGGCACCAGAAACAATGTCAGTTTTCTTTGTCAAAAAGAGTCAGCAGAGGGAGCTCAACACTGCTGCTGTTCGAAACGGCTTTACTTTTGCACTTGTGTCATCCCAGCCACCAACAGCCACCAAGAGACCCCAGCAATGAAGACTACGGGAGAAGAAGCCAAAATTGCCCTCCCCATTGCAGTCCCCATATGTTTACAAAGGAGCTTGTTCACTCCATGCCTGGCAGAAAATGTCACAGTTCTAAGCTTATACACTATTGGTGGGAATGTAAATTAGTTCATCTATTGAAAATAGTGTGGTGACTTCTCAAAGGACTAAAGACAGAAGTACCATTGGACCCAGCAATTCATATAGAACTACCAATCCAAATGAAACTACCATTCGACCCAGGATCTACTCAAAGAAAACCATCGTACTAAAAAGACAATTAAACTCCTTTGATTATCACTGTACTACTCACAATAGGAAAGTATGGAATCAACCTAAGTGTTCATCAACGGATGACTGGATAAAGGAAATGTGTATCTATACGATGGAATACTACAGAGCCACAAAAAAGAAAGGAATCATGTCTTTTGCAACAACATGGATGGAACTGGAGGCCATTACGGTATGAAATAACTCAGAAACAAAATCAAATGCACATGTTCTCACTTTTAAGTTGGAGCTAAAATGAGTACACAGAAACATAAAGAGGGAAATAACAGACACTGGGGACTCTAAAAGCAGCGAGGGTAGGAGGGGTGTGAGGGCTGAAAAATTACCCATCGGGTACAACATTCACCATTTGGGTGATAAGTACACTAGAAGCTCAAACTTCATTACGCAATATATCTGTGCAACAAATCTGCGCATGTACTCCCCGCATCTGAATATAGTGTGTGCGTGCGTGCATGTGGGTCACAGTTCGAGGCCCGGATCCCCTTCTGACAGCGACCGTAAATCCCTTTACACACCCCACCCTCCAGAGACAGGAAGGGCCTGGGGTGCGGCCAGCACTGGCGTGGGGTCTCGCAACATGCAGCAGAGAATCCAGCGCCAAGCCGTGGGGTACAGCTGCCCCAAGCACCGCCGATTATGCGGGAGAAGGGAGCCCGCCTCCCCCTGCGCCCCAAGAAAAAGCTGACGTCACCCTCTCCTCGCAGCCCCGCCGGGAGACCCCCTCTGCGCAGGCGCCTGCGGGGAGGGAAGGACAGACAGGAACAAAAACCTTCCAGGCGGTGACTCCGTGTCCCTTCTCAGCCCTCCCCGCCCCCACTCCGTAGCCCCCTCCCTCAGTGGACGCCAGGTCTGGGCTTGAGGTACCTTCAGCCCGAAGGCCCAGGATGAGACACCCTCTGAGTCGCCACCATTGGCGACCAGGAACAGGTTCCACCCCTACGCAAAGCTGAGAAAGGGCTTTTCTCAAGCAGCAGACCCACCTCTTTTGAGTCTTCTCCGCCATGGTACGGCCCCAATTGGAGCGGAGATCGACACCACCGCCTGGGTAGAGCGATAATTCCACACGCGATTGGAGAGCCTGGCAGGGTTGGGAGAGGGGTGGAGCCGGGGTGGGGCGAGGACTCTGCGGGGCGGGGTCAGGGAAGCTTGCGGCTGTTGTTTGCGTCGAGTCTGAGCGCACAGGACTGTGCGTGGCAGCGGTGCAGGGCCGTAGACCCTAATTTGGAACAGCCATTGGCTGGGCACAGGCCAGCACTTTGGGAGGCCGAAAGGCCGAGGCGGGAGGATCGCTCGAGGCCAGGAGTGCGAGACTGCGAGACCAGCCTGGTAACATAGTGAGACCCTCTCTTCCTAAAAAAAAAAAAAAAAAAAAGAAAGAAAAAGCCTGTCACAATGACCTGCGCCTGTACCCCTAGTTACTCGAGAGGATCGCCTGAGCCCAATGAAGCTGCAGCGAGCTATGAGCATACCACTGCACTCCAGCGAGCTATGAGCATGCTACTGCACTGCAGCCTGGGCTACAAAGCTAGATACTATCTCTGATAAAAGAATAAAAGCTGTTTATTGCAATCCAGTGCGCGTCATTATGCCCTCATTTTACCCACTTGCTTAGGCGTGATCATACCCTAAAGATATTCCTCTGACCTCGCCGTTGCTTCTTTTCAGCCTCTGTCTTTCTCTACACATTAGGACTTTTCCTGGCCCTTTTCTCGCTCTATCCTTCCTATAGGTTAAGTGCCCTCCACCTGCTTGCTCTCTAATGAATGTCTCTGGTTCTGCCCGCGCTGCCGATCTTCACACCTGATATTCGGTTGACTGATTGACATCTCCACTCAGAGTCCTATCGAACCTAAAACTTCCAGAACTTCGATTAACACTCCCGTCCTCCCTCCAACCTGCTGCTTTTTTGATCCACACCATTTGCCCAGTTGCTCAAGCCAGACACTCGAGAGTCATCCTGGCACTCCTCACCCCTACATCTGTAATAGACCTGCAAGTTCTGCTTGTCCTAGCTCGGGTCTCATGCTTACACTTTACCCTGTCAACCCGACCATCTCTGTAATCTAATCTCAGCTGATGTGTCTCTCTCAATTGTTCTCTCCTTCCATACTTGGCCTCTGAAATCACACACCCTCATCTCACCCCCCAACCCTGATCCAAGTAGTTCTCCTGTAGTCAAAATCATCCTTTAAAAGACAAATTGAGGCCGGGCACGTGGCTCACACCTGTAATTAATCCAGCACTTTGGGGGGCCGAGATGGGAGGATCGCTTGAGGCCAGGAGTTGGAGACCAGCCTGGTCAACACAGCAAGATCCCATCTCTATATTTTTTTCTATAATGTATTTTTTTTAAATGGAAAAATAAATAAGAGCCAAATTCAGTTATTTTATTTCCCCTTTCTCTTAAAATCCACACTGCTTTCCATAACCTATCTCTGAGCTACATCGAGCCCCTGCCTACTTCTCTCTTCTCTCATTTCATGTTCCTCTTCCTCTTTCTATGTGTTGGATCACACCCTCATTCTCCAAAAAAGCAAAGCTGACTCTCCACCCTCAACCGCTTCCACTTGCCCCCACCCTAACACCTTCTGACCCTTTATCTCTCAGATGTCACATACTCAGTTTTCAACCAGAGAAACAGAACTAGTAGTAGAAGTATATCAAGAGGTTTATTGTAAGGAATTGGCTTACATGATTGTGGGGCTCCAGCTAAGCAAGTCCAAAATCTGCACACTACGCTGGAACTCTCATGCAAGGGGTGAGGCTATTGTTTACAGGAGGAATTTCTTCAGGGAAGCCCAGCTCTGTCTTATGGCCTTCAACTGATTGAATCAGGCCCACCCAGATTAGCCGGGATAATCTCCCTTCCTTAAAGTGAACATCAGTTCACTTTAGGAAGGATAGACTTTAATCACATCCACAAAATACCTTTACAGCAGCATCTAGATTAGTGTTTGACTAATGACTTGGGAATGTAGCCTAACCAAGTTGACACAAAAAAACTGACCATCACACTCAGGGACTTAGTTCTTTCTGGCTGCTATAACAAAATACAGTTGGCCCTTTGTATCTGTAGGTTTGACATCTGTAGTTGGTTGACATCAACCAATGTTGGATCAAAAATTTGAGAGAAAAAAATTACACAAGTTTCCAAAAAGCAAAACTTGAATTTGCTGCATGCCAAGTACTACATTGAAGCCATGTGAATGAAGTGATATGTAGGAATTGTATTAGATATTCTGAATAATATAAAGATGATTGAAAGGATATGGGAGGGTATGCATCAGTTAGTTATATGCAAATATTACACCATTTTATATCAGGGACTTGAGCATCTGCAGATTTTGGCATCAGGGTATCCGGGAACCAGTTCCCCAAGCATACTGAGAGACGGTTATACCTTAGACTGGGTACAGTAGTCCTTTCTTATCCTTGGCCGTTACATTCCAAGACCTCTAGTGGATGCCTGAAACCACAGATATTACTGAACCCTCTATATACTAAGCACACATTTCCTTTTCCTCATTAATAGTTTCATGGATAAAAGATTTATTCTTACCATAGATCTTAGCAACCTCAGAATATAGGTTTGGTTTCTTTCCTTTTTAAATCAAGAAATTTTCACATTTTCATTTAAAGAAAGCATTTTACAGTTTCTCTTTGGCAGATCCAAATCACCAGCATCGCTACTTTTGTGCTTTGGGGCCATTATGAAGTAAAATAAGAGTGACTTGAACACAAGCACTCTGATACTGAAACACTGTATCTGTTAACTGAGAAGGCTTTAATGGGCAGGTAGTATCAACAGTGTGGATACCAAGGACAAAAAGATGATTCATGTCCTGGCCTAGAGAGAGCAGGATGGTAGGGGAGTTCATCAAGCTACTCAAAATGGTGTGCAATTTAAAACTCATGAGTTGTTTATTTCTGGAATTTTCTATTTAATATTTTTGGACTGACGTTGACTACAGGTACCTGAAACCCCATCGAAGATGAAACTGTGGATAAGGGCGACTACTGTTATTTATAAACAAAGACATTTATTGCTCACAGTTCTAGAGGCTGGAGAGTGCAAGATCAAAGTGCTGGAGATTCTGTGTCTGATGAGAGCCCTCATCACCTATTCACCTCCTAAATGTCCCACCTCTTAAATGCCAAGTAGTCAATAAAATATCAGATATGAAGCTCAGCAGAGAGGACAGAACCTTGAAGGTTTTATTTCAACATATGAATTCTGGAGGGACACAAACATTCAGACCACAGCACCATCTAATCAAAAATAGGCTACCCTTCCTATTCTAATTATTTTCTCTATGGGGTAAGGATTGCAGTCATCACCAGCTATACTAACTTATTTTACCATTCCCCGCAAAGACTTAAGTTCCACGAAGGTGCAACCATGTGAGTTTTGTTCCCGCTCTTTAGTCAACACGAACCACAGTGCCTGGTGCATGGTTGATATTCCCGTAAACTTGTTGAATAAGTATATGAATGAATTTAGAGTATTCTGTCGCTGCCAAACATGTGAACACCTATCCATTTTCAAGCAATGTCTATCTATATTAATTTGAAAGACTTCTATGGCATACTTATAGAGGACCATTTTATCAATATTAGGTACAGTGTCCAGGGCCTATAGGCTTTTGGGGGATCAATGAACTGTTTGAAACCTGAAAATAAAATGTACTGAAATGCAAAAAGTACAGGTAGGAATTAATTAATAAATACTAAGGCCAGGCACAGTGACTCATGCCTGTAACCCCAGCACTTTGGGAAGCTGAGGCAGCTGGATTGTTTGAGTTAGGAGTTCGAGACTGATCTAGGCAACATGGCAAAACCGTGTCTCCACAAAGAACACAAAAATTAGCGAGGCATGGTGGCATGTGCCTGTATTCCCAGCTACTTGGGGTCTGAGGTGGGAGGATCACTTGAGCCCAGGAGGTCAAGGTTGCAATGAGCCAAGATCACACCTCTGCACTCTAGCCTGGGCAACAGAGCAAGAGCCTGTCTCAATAAATAAATAAATGCACACATACTTTTTTTTTTGAGATGAGTTTCACTCTTATTGCCCAGGCTGGAATGCAATGGCGTGATCTTGGCTCACTGCAACCTCTGCCTCCTGGGTTCAAGTGATTCTCCTGCCTCAGCCTCCCAAGTAGCTGGAGTTATAGCCACCTACAACCATGCCTGGCTATTTTTTTTTTTTTTTTTTTTTTTTTTTTTTTTATAGAGACAGAGTTTCACTATGTTGACCAGGCTGGTCTCCAACTCCTGATCTCAGGTGATCCACCTGCCTCTGCCTCCCAAAGTGCTGGGATTACAGGCATGAGTCACCACGTCCAACCCCACACATACACACTTAATGTCTACAAAGCAACTGTTTTCTTAACTAATCAACTGCAATTCAACTCTTCTGTACCTATAAATTATATTTAATGTGGGATATGGTTTCATTCAATATGTTTAATGCAATGTTAGCTTGTTTATTTCCTCAGGGAGCCCTCTTCTTCCCTTTGGGAATAGGTCCCCAAAATCTGGCCATAAACTGGCCCCAAAACTGGCCATAAACAAAATCTCTGCAGCACTGTGACATGTTCGTGATGGCCACAACACCCATGCTGAAAGGTTGTGGGTTTACCGGAATGAGGGCAAGGAACACTTGGCCCACCCAGGGTGGAAAACCTTTTAAAGGTGTTCTTAAACCACAAACAATAGCATGAGTGATCTGTGCCTTAAGGACATGCTCCTGCTGCAGATAACTAGCCAGACCCCTCCCTTTATTTTGGCCCATCCCTTTATTTCCCATAAGGAATACCTTTAGTTAATCTGTAATCTATAGAAACAATGCTTATCACTGACTTGCTGTCAATAAATACATGGATAAATCTCTGTTTGAGGCTCTTAATTCTGAAGGCTGTGAGACCCCTGATTTCCTACTCCACACTCTATATTTCTGTGTGTGTGTGTCTTTAATTCCTCTAGTGCCACTGGGTTAGGGTCTCCATGACCAAGCTGGTCTCAGCAAGCGGCGCCCATATGTGGGGGCTCAAACCCAGATTGAAAGGTCACCAGAGTGACGGTTGGAGAATGTGGAACTAAGCTGGAGGACACCCAAGCGATCCCTGTGGTGAGTAAGAAGAGGAGCTTGGAAGCATCAGGGTAACAATGGGACAAATGTGGGCTTTGCTTCATTCCACCTTGGAACCTTTTCACACTGATGATGAGGAGGAGGGAGAGGATAATTAAGTAGCAGAAGAAGAAACAGAGCAGGTTTGTTTGCCAGCTAGAGCTAAAGTGGCAAAGGAGGGAGAGGTTCATCCCTACCCTTCTGCACCCCCTCATTATTATTTTGAAGAAGAAGAGTGGCCTGAC